ATTGGCCGTTTTTATACTTGAGACGCATTATGCGTCTGGACGCATAATCCGTCTTCTACATTATTCGTCTAGTATAAAGACGGGACGAATAATACTAGACGAATAATGTAGAAGACGGATTGTGCGTCCAGACGCATAATGCGTCTCTGGTATAAAAACGGCCATAATGCGACGAACTATCAACATTTATTGTTCGTCTGGTTATGCGTCCTCAGTATAAAGACGGGCACAAGACGCATTATGCGTCTAGACGAACTATCATCGGCTGTGCGTCTCTTAAGACGAAGAATCGAACATAGTTCGTCTAGACGCATAATGCGTCTTGTGCCCGTCTTTATACTAAGGACGCATAACCAGACGAACAACAAATGCTTGCCCAAGTTCGTCCAGACGCATAATGCGTCTCTAGTATAAAAACGGCAATTCACTCTTAAACCGTTTAGACTTTGCGCCGACGAACTTACGTACAATGCATCAGCAGGTATATACTGTTGAAGAACACACGGCTTGCCATTCCAACAACATTACAAGAAAGAGCAACAAAATTAGGTCATATCGGGCATCAGGGAATTGAGAAAACGAAAAGCCTACTACGCGAAAATATCTGCTACCCAAATATGGACAAACGAGTGAAAGAAATGGTAGACAAATGCATTCCTTGCCAATCAGTAGGTCACGGTAATAACCCGGAGCCAATGAAAATAACACCAACCGAAGACAAACCGTGGACTAGTGTAGCACTCGACTTCTATAGTCCAGTACCCCAAACTGGGCAATACCTGCTAGTGCTTATCGATACCTACTCAAAATTCTCAGAGGTAGAAATAGACAACTCAACCAAAGCAAAACTTGCATACCAAAATTAGATACGATATTTGCCAGATATGGAATACCATCAAAAATAAAAACTGACAATGGACCCCCATTTAATGGGAATGAATTTGAAACATACACTAAAACCCTTGGTATTGAATGGAAAACAATCCCACCACTATGGCCCCAGGGTAATGCCGTCGTAGAAAGATTTATGAAACCAATTGGAAAACTCTTGAAAACAGCAGAAATTGAAGGAAAGTATTAGAAGCAAGAACTGCAAAGGTTTCTACTTCAATACCGTTCAACCCCTCATCAAACTACAAATTCGGGGATATTTACCAGAACTTACAAGAAAGAAAGTAGTCAATAGACACAAGAGGGCAAGCAGAATTTGGAGGACAAGAAAGAAGAGAACAAAGAGTACTACGACAGAAACAAAAGAACAAAGGAAGCTGGTATCGAAAAGGGTGACATCGTCATTTGCAAACAAAAGACGAACAATATGTTAACATCAAAGTTTGACCCAGAACATTATACGGTAGAACAACGTAAGCACAACACCATCATAGCTGAAAGAGATGGTAAGACGGTGACAAGAAACGTTTCACACTTCAAGAAGGTAGTAATGGAGGAAAGCGAGGAGGAGCAGGAAGATACAGCACCGGGAAGATCGACGGAAACAGAGGAACCACCAAAGCAAGAACCAAATGTAAGGAGATCAGCAAGAATGAAAAGACCGGTAATACGTTATCAGTACCAGACTTGATGTTATAAACAGTAAAACGATATAAACGTTTAAATTATAGAAACATCAGACAACATTGATTTACATAAGTATGAACACAACGCAAGAACATTTTATTAAGTGGTTGACATTCAGTTAAAAAAAATAGAGGGAGAGTAATGTAGTATTTGTAGGATGCGATAAGTTAATAATTAACTTCGAAGCATGTAACAACGTTGATTGACATTTGTAATAAATCATTATTCAGTCTATTCTACATATTCTTTTCTGGAAATATTTCCGTTGGCTTTTAAAGTCCGTAGCTTTTATGAAACAGACCAACTAAATAAATCAGAAATGCTAAAAGCGATCTTAAAGTAAGTGTAATTAAATACCATGCATTATTGTAAATCGATACATTCATATAATAATAAACTATATATAGGATGCTAGTTTTGTCCAACGCAACCGATCATAGTGTCCATCTTCCTTTCGTTATATCAGAATAACCTTGTCGACGACGCATGACCATTGAAAATAATCTTTGGTATGTATTATTGTGGAAAACTCGGGAAGAGAGATACGATGTATGGCCAACTCTGTAAAGTATCTCCAACAGTATCTTCAGAGATTCTATATTTAAACATTTTTCAGGGCCCCACGGACGTCCCTGAAAACTCGCGCCTACGGCGCTCGAACTGTGCCTTCAGCATTTACCCCTGCTATAACGTAAGGCCATTGTTTGAAATATCAAATATTCCCCCTTTCCAAAATTTACTCCCTGACCACGCCACTGAGCCGTTTAATTTTGCAAACTTACTATGCATGTTAATCCATATCGGTTTAAATATTTGAGATATGTTGAAATATTGAAAATGTAATGTTCTTGGTGCGACATCTGAAAAACTACTAAGAGCTCGTTAATCACAAATCGTTAATAAACAAATCCTAATTCAATTTTGTAAAATATTGTCAAAATATTGTTAAACTCGAACGCGATCGAATCGCACCATAATTTATACAAAGGGTGGATGGTAGCCTTTTGTTTGAGTAAGCCGAGACTGTAAGTTATAACGTGCGCATTTAAAGTTGATAGGTGAAGAAAAATAATACAAAGGAAACACAAGCAATTGTGAAAATGCCTTAATTTTTTCGTTTTGTTGAAAAAAACATGCTATTAGTCGCTGAGGGCGACTTTATAGGTTTCACCTTTCTCCAATCTGAATCTCAGATATCCTTATGGCCCAGTCACACTACACAACGATAACGACACGATAAATTGAAAACATGCGATAATTGGCAAAAAAATGTATTGGTGTCTATACTACAACGAAAATAACAAAATTATCGTTTGACGATAACGATATCGATTTTAAAATCGCTCACCCGAGCAATTTGTTTTTCAGTCGGACGATAACAATAAATTTTTGACCAATTAGCGCGCGTATACAAGCTATCGTATCGTTGTGCAGTGTGACCTGGGCTTTAGCCATAAAATTCTGAGCAATGGCATGCAATGTCTACGCAAATTATCTATAAATTATCCAAACTTTAACGCTAAATATCCAGCAGTTTAACCGTCAATATTAATCTTCGTCAATGTGGACAGAAATTATGGGAATATTTCATGAAAGCCGGTGTATAACATAATTAGCTAGTGGAAAATATTATACCTCAACTTCGAATTGTCCAATCAGGAAGCTTAGTTTGTGGCACGTGAGCATGAAATTAATTGCGATATCACGCCTTACGTCATCAATAGATCTTTCCCCTTTTAAGTGAAATTTTGATTTAGACACGTCTGGACAAAAATTTCATCACAGCTTAAAAGAGCATCACAAAATTAGTAATATTCCGACGTTTCGTTGCAAAATGTTGTAAAATGCGGATAATATACCCTTGCGAAGTTTGCAGCTTTTCAGTCATTTAGTATTACAAACGGGAAATTGATAATCAGATGATCAAACTGATTATCAATTTCCCATTTGTAATCAAAATGACTGAAAAACGGCAAACTTCGCAAGGCTATATTATCCGCATTTTACAACATTTTGCAACGAAACTTCGGAATATTACTAATTTTGTGATGCTCTTTCAAGCTGTGATGAAATTTTTGTCCAGGCTTGTCTAGATCAAAATTTCACTTAAAAGGGGAAAGGTCTATTAGCGACCATGTGTGACTGTTTGTAACCATGTGTGACTGTTTGTAACTGTGTGTTGCCGTTTGTTATTGTATCTTACCACTCGTGACCGCGTGAGACAGTGTCTGACCGTTTGTGACCATGATTTACCGTGTCTGACCGTTTGGGAGCATTTGTGACCGTTTGTGATTGTGTGTGTGACCGTGTCTGACCGCTTATGACCATGTGAGACAGTGTGTGACAGTTTGTGACCATAAGTGACCATGTCTGACCGTTTATGACCGTGTGTAACAGTTTGGGTACATGTGTAACCGTATGTGACCGTGGATGACTGTTTGTGGTTGTGTGTGACCGTTTATGTCCTACTAAAAATCTTGCACACCTTTGAAATAAATTCCTAAATCACACAGAAAAAAATCCGTATGAAGTCCCTAAAAATTCGAAAAAAATCCTGAAATTCTCCAACAATCCCAACAAATCCTAAAATATCTTTACATTCCTGACAAATGCCAAAACAAAATTAAAAAAAAAATCCATGAGACATCCCAAAAGATTCTCAAAATCCTAAAAATCTCGTACACTTGTTTTAGAATGATAAACCCCATCGAATTGTTTGTTGGCGTTAATTTTAACAATGGGAAATCCTGTAGTAGCTGTACGCCAAATATGGTCATCAAAAACCAAAATTCGGATTTTTGTGCCTGCAATGGGGGTAACACACAACTCAGCAGAAAATCTTTATTCTCTTATTAGAGATTCTCCCAGATCGCTCGCTTTCTTTTGATTTTTTATCAAAATGTAGTCTTAAATCAGGTTTTTTTTTGGATCAGTCTTGGAAGGTTTAGCTTCTATTTTTCGGTGGGACTTTGCATATTAACATCCCTCAATGATTAGGGTTGGAATTCGGATTAGGACGAGGATTTGGTTTAGGGTTTGGATTATGATTTAGATTATGGTTTAGATTAGGTGTAGGTTAGGGATCCAATGACTAGAAATTGATTAGGAGTAGAAATTGCTAAATTTAAAATTGAGGATTGTTAATATGGAAATTAAGCCGTTTTGGTGGCCTATACATGTAAATTTTGTGCCCACATGTAAATTGTTCATATATTTTCGGAAATAAATCACAAAGAATATTAGTTTGTAATATTTTTTATTAACATGTACATGTATGGTGGCCTATCGTTGTCATTCAAATTTTCTTGCAAAAATAAACAATATAAAATTAAATTAAAATTAAATTAATACAAAATTAAAACAAGATTGAATTAAAACACAATAATAAATAAAATTAAATAAAAATACTATAATTGATTTTAAAACAAAACTAAATTGAAAGTAATTTCAATTTAGAACAAAAATCAAAGTAAAATGAATTTCAGGCCAGCCTATCGTTGTCACAGTATACCATAATGCTTTGCGCGAAACACGTGCGGCTGTGAAGTATATTTTAAGATTGCAACAATGAGCAACCAAGCATGGAAAAACTTCAAGCAAAATATGAAAGAAAAACGACTCACGAAAGGCAAAAGAAAGAAAAATGTGTTCTGAATTCGGGTGAACTTGTCGTACAGCGACTTAGCTCATCGGTGTCCGGCAAAGCGCAGAAGTATTCGACGGTAGGTTCGAGAGAATTCGTATCGTTCCCATACGAAGAAATGACGATCAACAACATCAAGTCTGCGTGTGAGAAACACTTTTCGTCTGTTACTCAGAGTGGCTTAGTGTGCGATGTAGTTGCTGGAGATCAAGGGCCGTCTTGCAGAACGTTGGAGCAACTCCCCAATACGAAAGTTATTCATGTTCGTTTTATAGAAAGCATTGACACCGAACTTGAGACAATGCAAGATATGTCTGGCTCTCAGCCAAAGCGTATTAAAAAACCCACCAAATTCGTTTGGTGGTTCACCGTCGAAAGGAGGCTGTGTAGAGGAACCGAAAAAGCAGTACCCGAAAAGTCTTTCGATTTCCGAAATGCTGAAGTTAGGGAAAAAGATTTAGGAAACAACAGAAACAACAACAACAACAACAACAACAACAACAACAACAGTCGACCTTTTCACCTTTGACCTTCAGTCGATGTCGTGGTCGAAACAATCCGATCGAGTTGAGTTCTCGGTGTCTAAGAAACCGTTCGCTTCTGGAGGCTTTCGCGACGCATACAAGGCCACGTCAGTACACCAAAAATTCGCAAGCAAGACCTGGGTTATAAAGAAATACTTGCCACAAACTTTTAAAACAATTAACGATATGGGGGAAACGGCAGAGAGTCACACAAAAAAAGTGGTCCAAATGCACCATCTTGCTGCTAGTATGGCTGCTAATTTATCTGTTGCAGTAAAGAAAATCTAAAATCAAGAGATCTTCAGTGAATTTTTCCGTTACACAGAGATTTTCATGGGGAAAATTGATAATGAATTTATCACGGTCGAAGAATTTATAACTGGTGAGTTCGTTAAGTATATAAACAACACGGGTGAACTTTGCACTGAACCGAACGATGAGTATAGCCAAAAAGCAGAGTGTCTTGCGCATTTTTCCTTTGTGAAATCGGATAAAAAACTTATTCTCCTGGACATTCAGGGCAGCGGTGCCAATCTGTATGATCCTGAAGTCGCTTCTTTGGAATTACTAGATGATGGTGAGATATTGTTTTGTGCAGGAAATCTTTCCAAAATGGCAATTGATACATTCATTGCCTTTCATGCTTGCAACAAATACTGTGAGTTGTTAGAGCTACAGAAACTGTAAACTTTGTTTGGAAATTTAAAGTGGAGGTCAAGTCCGTAATGTAAACAAACGGTTTATTTACATTTTGAACTGCTGTATTTTTTTAAATATGATGTACTGTCTGAATATCTAACACTATTTTGGTTCGCTATACTTCTAAATGAATGTTAAATAGAGTTTATGTTCAGAAAAATTCGAGACATTCGAAATTTGGGCAATGTTCACATTAGAGGTCCTCACATTGTTATGAGCAGAACCGATGCGCAGAATGGACTTGACTTCCACTTTAAGTTTAACTAAGCTCCACAACTGCAAAATCATGAAATTTGGTCTGAACATTCAATTTAATTACAGTAACGTTTTGCTTATTGTTAGACGGCCTATATTGTTGGACGGCGTATATTGTTAGACGGCCTATATTGTTAGACAGCCTATATTGTTAGACGGCCTATATTGTTAGACGGACTATATTGTTAGACGGGCTATATTGTTAGACGGGTTATATTGTTAGACGGCCTATATTGTTAGACGGCCTATACTGTTAAAGTGTTGTTTTGTTGGTGCATTTTAGGCAGTTGGAACATACATATATATTATACCATTGTCAGTAAGATGCAATTGCAGATGCTATCTAATGTATTAAGTAGTGCAGGTACTATGCAGTGTGGTAGGTAAGTCAGAGCTGTAGCTAGACTGATAATTGGGGCGGGGGGGGGTGCATATTCATATATTTGTGTTTTGCCCGAAGGATTTCCTTTGAAAGCAATTGTTTTTACAGTATGTGAACATGAATATATACCCCCCCCCCCCAATTATCACGGCTAGCTACGGCCCTGGAATAAGTTACTTGAGAGAACATCCACACCACTCTCATGGAGGAAATGGGATAGTACAATTACTATTCAGGTTTATATCGTACAGATTTCCTGTCACGGGAAGTGTGGATCTTTTCTTGAATAACCCAGTGTCATAACCCTATGTAACTTCCAGTTTTAATAAAGTATTTTTTCAATTTCCATTTGTTTATTGGAGCTTTAGGGGGTATATGGAGATAAGGCAGCCTTAGGTTCCCAGGCTGCTATTTCACTTTCCCGATGCAAATTTCATATATGTTTGTACGATAGTCTGGCTAGCCGAAACAAAGAACCCAGGCTGATTTGACAACTGAATAAACAGCACATCACACATACTATGACACTAGCCTGGCCCAGAATTTCGAGCACGCTACATACAGACTGGTCAAAGTTTTCTTGTCAAGAGTGTGGCATGGAATCAATGGGTATGCATGAAATTTTGTAATGAGACAGGTTATCGGCAGCAGCATATCAATCCTTAACATGTGGATTGATTATATATTATCATTAACATCAACTTTCATTTATTTCCACCCCCAGGTGAGCAGACAACCGTGGGTGTTTTAGACATCCAGAAATTGTTTGCTGACTGGGGGGCAATTGACAAAAAATTAACAAGGCACGTGTCTACACAGACAGTAATTTTTAATATATATTGAGAAGAAACATTTTGAAAGGTCAATCCTATAGTGGGTCTGCCTACCCTCAGGGAGTAGTGGAACATGCATGGAAAAATACCTATTCATAAAAAAGTTGTGCAGTAGTACTGGTAATGAAATTCAAAGTTTATTCAGAATTAGGCGTTTGAATGTTTGTTTTAAGATAAACAAAGGCATCTGAGAACTCAGATGGCTCCACCAATTCTGGATATGGGATAATTTGCAAACATGCAGCTCGAAATTCAGGAGACAAGAAGTCATCATCCAGTTCAAGTACTCCTCATTGTTCTGCAACTTCCTGCAACTGCCCCTCTGTGATGTGAAAACCTTAATTAAGGATAAAAGATGAATCTAAATGGGTTGTTCAAGAAAAGATCCACCCTGCCCCCCAGGAGGAAATTTTTGAATTAGGATATCCAAAGAGGTGGCATGTGGCTTAACTTCCAAATGCCTCAATGTGGGAGGTATGGATGTTTTCTTGAATGACCAAATGGAATTACAAGCCAAATTAAAGATGTAAATAATGTAAAATTAAATATACAGTTAAATCTTTCCGGCTACTTAATCCATTAAGCTACAGAGTTTCCCCATTGACGAGTAAAATCGTCTGGCGTTAGACAAGTAAAAATATAATTAGGGTGCATTGTAGCTCAATGGGTTAACTAGAGACATTTTTGGTCCATTGATGAGCAAAATCTTCTGGTGTTAGACAAGTAAAAAGGAAAAAGTAGGGTGCATTGGGGCGCATTGCGGCTCAATGGGTTAAATAAAAATGATAATTCTGAATACTGAATGCTCTGATAAGTGGAGTAAAAAAAAGTAAAAAACACACCACAATCTTCCAACTGGTAATTATTAGGAAATCCATAAATGTGGTTAGGAACACCAGCTGGAAGGTCAGTCACCTTTTGCTCTCGAATTCTATGGCTGTTCCATATCATATTTTTAAATTTGGCCAACTCAGTCTGCATCATCGGAATAAATATGAATGCAAGCAATGATCTATATAATAAGAAGTTGAGCACTTGCTTTTATTAAACCATTCTCGTGCAACAAAGTCACTCACAGAATAATGAAAGCTTTACCTATCAGTTTCATCATGTGGATTGTAATGATGATGATCTTTCAGCCTTCTTAGGTGCTCTTTGAAATATTTCTCCATTCTTTCGTGGAGTTCCCTCCACCATCTTTCGATCTAGAAATAATGAATTTGAAAATATTCATTCCTAGGGGTGCTGTCAGTTATATGGATATTGTTCTTATAAGGTTCATCTCATTTAAGGTTAAATAATAATTTTAATTTAAATGTGAATGTGTTTGTAATATTTTGAAGGAGCATTTTTAAATTTTGAGTTTGTACTTCATGCTGCAGCATTGCATTTCCAGAATGATGCCAAACTGCATTGAATTTAATACAATGCACGAAAGTAATGTATATAATATTATGGATATATTACAAATTATATAGTAACAAGAAACACGCCCAAGCATCACATCCTTGCAATTAAAATTATCTGGTATTATACAGAGAAACTGAACACTGCAGTTTGACGTGTTATCAATCTTTTGATACCTATTTATAAAGAGGAACGATGCACAAAGACTTTTTAAAAGGTGAATAAAATATTTACACTTAGGGAGTGGTCATTATTTATGGGGGGATAAATGGGAGGGCAAACGAAGTTTTACCCTTATACATAGGGGGTAAACAAAGTTTTAACCTAGAGAAAGGGGGGTCAAAAAAGAGTTTTGAACTTGGATACCATGTCTTAAGAGTACTGATTTCTATAATCGCAAATCATTTCTGTTTTCTGATTTCTATAATCACAAATCATAATGCCAAAGAGGTAAAGAAGACCCTGAAAAAGGAGTCGGGGCCACTAAGTTTAACAAGCTTCCTACTCCCTGAATGACCCAGTTGTGGTATTTACATAAACATACCATGCAAGTACTTAACTGATCAGATTCGGTCTATCAAAGCACAATGTAACACTGTATATCCAAAAATATGTTTAGAAAATGCTCACATTTCAGTCCTAGGGGTGGAAAAATACAAAACAATACAAAAAGTTTGCCTTCAGTTTGGAGGGGGTCAAGCTTTCAATCCTTATTTTCCCATTTGCCCGTGAATAATGACCACTCCCTAATATTAGGTTATTTAGCACTTTACTGCGCACTTTATTTATAAGTTTACCTGATTTGACGTTGATGAACCATATATGATGGTATTAGACGGATCATCACTGCCAAGCAACTGGTGCAAGTAGGCATGCATTGTAGCCATTGTGCCTGTTTCTGTTCCTTTACCAAGCCTCGAATACCATGGCATTACTCTTGTTTCATACAAGTATTCTAAATATCAACTTCCAATTTGTTTAGGATTTGAGTTGCTTACCCAAATTTTTAGCCATAAAATTTTTGCGACTTGCTGTGTCTATGCACTCATATATTGCAAGTGGAAAGGTACTGTTTTGGTGGCCCATTAACTTATCGTGTCCATCTAATGAATGAACAAAATTAGGGCCTTTGGTGGTATATTTTCCTTTTTTCTTTTGCCTAGCATTTCCAACGCCACCTCTTGTCTCTAATCCTTCCGGATAAACTTCGTGCATGACAGCGTAAACTAAGTCACGGGGAACGTTAAGCTCATGTTCTTGTCGCAGTTTCTTTTGCATGGCTCTGTAACCCAGGAGCTTACCAGGGCCATCGATCTCTTTAGCCACAGCCGCTTCCACTTGTTCGACTGTCACACTCTTGTCTGTGTAGCTGATGTCGAAATATCGCATTCGACGGTCTAGCGAGCTTA